CCCCCCTCCCCCCCCGAAAGAAAAAAACATACAATTGAAGATTCCCACCAACATAAAGTGGCCAACTAAATGGCCAACAAATAAAATTTAAAATTCTATATTGGCCGATGGACAGCTACCTCTACGAAAACGAAGATAATCGACACTAGCAGTCAATACGAACATCGATCATAATTGACGTCTACTACGGACGACTGCTCTTGATCGAAAACCACAGAGCACAGGTGTTCGCAGCCCGTTACGGTTGCATCTCCCTCCCCTGAGAGTTTCAACGTAATTGAAATTTCAACGTCAGTGGTCGTTGGGGAGGGTAGGCATTTTGAGGTTTTGGGGTCTAGCAAGGGGCAGGACCGAGTAGGAGCGGTAGCTGCCCGTAGGAGGCCGAGGAGGCCGCAATCCTTGTGTTTTGAACATTTCGAAATCCAAATGACGCAGGTCTACTTTTCTCAAAGAGCAGAGCATTTCGAATAATACAAATTATATTTGAATACAATGTGTACACTTTCTATTCGAATTTCAAATAAAAACTCTTGTATTCCAATAACATTATTTTTTTTTCTTTTAATTGGAGTTCAGCGCTGCCCCTTGTGCTCTCGCCACTGACGTGCTGCATACTTCAAGGCTCTCTCTCTCTCTCTCACACACACACACACACACATAAATACTTGATAATATTTAATAAAAATAAAAATAAAAATAAAAATAAAAATATTGATATATGTTTTTAACATTAACAAATGAATAATTAAATACACATAACAACATGTTTATATTTTAAAATATTTTTAGGATGCCAATTACAGCCCCTCCTTAAGCAACCTTTTGAAAATTTGTCCTATTGATTATTAAGGGAACCATGGTATTTCCACAAACATACGAAAAAAAATGGTCCCTTTAGTTAAGCGTAGACTTCCCACCGACGCCCCACCTTCGGATGACCCCATCTTGAAGCCTCGTCATCCCATCCCCCAACCCCCTCCCCCACCGCTTCCTCCTCCAGCTTAAAAAAAATTGGTCTTCCCATGCAGGCGCGGACCAGGTCCTGCAGTTAAGGCCCGAAATCATGGCCCCCCACCCCGCCACCCCCACCCCCGTCCCACACCAGTTCGTTCAAAAAAACTATGGGACCCCATTCCTTCGACCATTCTACGCTCCTTTATAACTGGTTGTTTCCATCTAGTTCCACCTCGAGCATTGCGCATGTGTGAGCGATGTCTCTTCGCAGACGCGATTCTCTCGTTTCTTTCGATGAAATCGAGAACGCCGCTTCCACGCCTATGCGCTCTGAGGTAGTGAGACGAATCTGAGTATGACTTCCTTGCATCCAGGGTACTTGTGCGCTCTGCTCCTGGAGGATTGCGCCTTGGCCAGTATGTGATAATAGAGGAGTGACTTACTGTTGCGGCTTCGCACATTCATTTCGCTTCACTCCTCTCTCACCTTTGCGTTTCTTATATGTTGTAGCCTTGCGTGTTCGGGCGTGCATTCAGCTTCAGGCTCTCGCCACTCTGCCAACATTATTGGGTAATATTGAAATGCGAACTCTGGGCATTCGAAGTTCTTATGCACTCTGCTCTCGCATGATTGCGCCATGGCTACCTTGTGATGATGGATGAACGATTTGCTACTGTGGCTCCACGAATTCGTGTTGCGTCACTCCTACCTATGCGCTGCTTATATTTCGTGCTATCACGAGTGTATGGGTGCACTCACCATCTTCTTGCTCTCGCTACTCTATCGGAGCTGCCTCGCTAAGGACTAAGGGTTGATTCGTGTCGGCTCTTCCACTATCTTCAAGGTTAAGACTCTGGAGAAGAAGCCTTGTGTCATCGTTTTTTCCTCGATTTGCCTGTTGAATCTCCTAGTTTTGTGGATCTGCAATCGTGTGACCCTTTCAAGCATGGCGGCATCTGCTTCTCGATCTGCGGCGGTAACGATGCTCTTGCCCCTTCCCCTCCCTCCCTCCCCTCTTCCCCCCTCCACCCCCCTCTTCCAAAATCTAGTCTCTACCTTTGATCTAATAAACATCTCTCCCTCCCTTTCGGAACGACAACCTAGGGGTATCCTCCCCTGAGGAGTTAGCCTGACAGGCGCTAGCGAAAAAACTTTTGGAATTGGTCTGTCAAACCCTTTAATGGTTGCGTCGGCACTAGGGGTCGCTTAGCCGGATTGGGATTCCCTCTTTATTTTCCTCATTCCCTCTTTCTTTCTTTCTTCCTTTCTTGCTCTCTTGTCCCAAATTATTATTATTGTTGTGTGATTTTCCTGACATGGATGCTTCCTAACGTCTTTGTCTCCTATATATATATATATTTTGCTTGAATTTCTGTTTGTCTGATTTGTTATAAGAATTATTGGCGAAGTCGCAGCTCGTCTAAGAATTATTCAGGATCGTGATCGGAGTTTCTGCTACATGGATTATGTCGCCTTTTCCGTAGGATTAGTCACAGTTCTTACGTTGTTTCTCGCTACTTTAGCATTTTTAGCTTTCTTGGACAATATTCATTAGTGCAACTCTTGTTGTGGTTTCTCTTGCTCCTACAACGCTTCTTCTTCCTCCACTCTCTCGCTAATCCCCAAGTGTCCTGCTCGCTCATAGACATGGCGTTCCTCTTCCCCCGCCAACCCTCTTTTTTCTCTCCATTGTTACGATTTTCGCCCTTCTCATAGCTTTCTCCCTCTTTCTCCTTTTCTACCTTCCCCATGGTTCTCCCCTTCATGACTCCTCTCCCCAATGCTCCATCAGTGTTTCATCTCATAATCTTTTATTCGCCTGCCCACCCCCCGTTCTCCTCTCTGCGATGGCTTCTATAGTAGCAATATTCGTAGTTTTTGTAATCTTTTCGTATGCCATGGTGAAATCTGAGTGTAATCGCTTCGCTGAGATAGCATACTATCCTCCCTAAGTACACAATGTGTGTAGAATTTGATTGGTTCCTAATGCGATCTGTGCTCTGTGAGCCTAGGGTGATTATGAATCTTATATCTTTAGGTTCTGGATTTCCGAATCAATTTGCTGCCACCATCTCTTTGTCTGGGTAGATGTGTATCTGTATTTGCGTATGTAACTGTTCAATTTTGGTTTAAACGCCCCTCTCCTTCAAAGGACGATTAATCTGTAGGATGACAGTTTTTACATGGATTATTGAGCAACGCTACAAGTTGGGTTTTGCTTCCTATCTCGGATATACTGAGATCTGGGCTCAGTATAAATTATTTTTTGTTGACATGAGTCCAGGTTATCAATTATTCGGATCAATGCTGTAGACACAAAGGTTTTGGCACGGATAGTTTCGAAATGTTGATAATTGTATGAAGTTCCTTTTTCAAATGATAGCCTTATGAAACGTACTTCTGCAATCTCTGTGTTCCTTTTTATTCGTTGTTGTTGTTGTTGTTGTTGTTGTTGTTGTTGTTGTTGTTGTTGTTGTTGTTGTCGTTGTTGTTGTTTTCCCCC